TAAATGAGCCTTGCTTCTCCAGCTTTATCGTCATCATAAAACAATCGTCATAGCTTACAAGCCAACCTGAGCACGACAAACCATCGAACCGTCACGAAACAATGCTTCTAAGATACCAAACAAACCCAGGGTTGTGATGTCCCATTTAGTTTGATGACCTTAGCACGCCTCTCTCCAACTCGGACTTAAGCTCAGGGACGTCATTTAATATGCATTTGGTTAGGGGTGGGGGGGGGCTGAGCCCCCAATGCTGACTTGAGCCCCGCCCCCTCCCAATACTCCTCTCAACTCCTCAATACACATGAGCAAAGAGGGAATGCTGGGCCAAATAATGCTGAAAAATTATCTTACCTTTTGACTAATAGATAAAAGGCATCTAAACAAATCACCACTAGAGTCATATACATTTTCTACCAAATAGTATTCTGTAGGCACCTAATGTTTTTATAGATAAGACAGTAGTAATAACTTTATTCCTAGTAGAAAACCAGGACAATAGAGATATAGATGCGTCGATATTTCGGCAACATCCCTTTATCGAAACGAAAAGCAGAAGTTATTAGCAGAAGAAACGAATAGGCTTCTGCGATTCGTTTCGATACGGGCATGTTGCTGAAATGTCAACGTATCTGTATCTCCACTCTACTAATTTTGCTACGAGCAATAAGGCTATTGCTTCTGTCCTATTTATATGCATAATGCTCCTCGGAAATGCACCCGACAACTTACCTGATGTTTTTTACATATATAAGGCAGTAGTTTTGGCCTCATTCCTCGGGATAAAAACCAGGACAATGGAGATATAGCTGGGTTGATATTTTGGCCACATGCCTGTATCGAAACAATAGCAGACGTGAATTCATCTACGAATTAGCAGCAGAATTCACTTCTGCTATTGTGTCGATAAAGGCATGTTGCCGAAATATCAACCCAACTTTATCTCCATTCTCCTGATTGTTATCCGAGAAATGAAGCTAATACTATTGTTTTATCCATGTGAATAATGTACTACGCAAATGCACCGAACAACTTCAGTGATATTTAAAAAAAAAATTAAACCCCTCCATATGTTGAACCAGTCTGAAAATGTTTGACAGGCTTTTCAGATGATACTGCCTGAATTGGGATAAAGAACAGTTAACTGCAATATGTGGTAGCTTTTTGAAGCACAGGGCGACCTTGAGAAAAATTAGGAAGAAAGGAAGCAAATTCGAGTGGCCAAGATCCGAAGAGAAGTCAGGTTTTGGAGTTAGATGAGGTCAACCTTCTCGGCTGTGTCCCCAAACCGGTTTTAGAAAGTGACATCCCTGCTCCAGCCCCCCCCCCACACTTTGAGAAGAAAGTGGGCCAAATCTGGTAAGAAACCAGTTCGTTGGCTTATTTTCTGGGTGAGTGTCGTCATTTTTCAAAATTCGCCCCCCGCATCTTACACAACTCAAGTTGCGAAATTACCTTCCTGCACGAAGCCGACCATGTATTCTGTTCCGGGGTACCCGAGGTGCTACAAATTAACCCACCTTTGTCTCTCAGTGCCTGCAATCGCACTATTTTGTGCATTTTCCTGGATCAACATGCCACAAGACTAAAAGTAAGATCAACCGAGTTTTTTATACGTGCCTCCAGCGCACGTTTTCTCAGCGATGATTATGATGATGATTTGGGCTTTGGGGCGCACCGACTGCAGTGATCGTATGGCGCCCACCACTTGCTCTTTATTTAATAGATGCATGAACAAAGTGAGGAGACAAGGTTACGTCGCTCACTGTCCTATCCCATAAAGGGCACCGGGCTCTTTAGCAAACCTCTCCTTTTATCCTCTCCCTCTCCCAAACCTCTCCCTTTAGCAAAACCTGTACAACAGTATATTCCGAAAAACAACCTTCAGTTGGAACGGATGTAGCACTGCAGCTGTCAAAATTTAATTTGTTCGAATTGTTCAGCGCTGACTCGACTACGATTCGCCGGCTGCTCTTCGCTTTCCGTGTCTCCTAAAGGCCGGACAGGCCTCGAAACGTTACTTTGTTTTGAAAGGTGCATGCTGCATATAAATCCTAGAATCACTTGTTGAACAGACCATCCATTTTCGCTGCGAAATCACAGCGGTGTCGGCATAGCAACGAACGTGTTACTGGCCCTCGTCGCGGGCGCGTCGCTGTTCATCGATGCTACCAGCCTGCGATGCGACTGACATTCAAACGAGGGTGCACGACGATGAATTGATACTGGCTGTCCGTGAATATCACCGAGGCGAACATATGCATATGAATGTCATGCCAAACGTCAAGCAAGAAGCAGACTAAAACAGCAGGATGCAAATCGGATTCAAGCGATGTGAAGTGACCGGAAGCACCCCGGCGCCGGTGACTGCATGGTGTTTGTTGTCTGTGATGAGCTCGAGTCGCCGGCTGCTTTCTCCGGGCATGGGTGCTGGGGGTCACGACGTCACCGCCTGCGCCACGGAGTGCGGGAAAGCGCGCAGCCCTCTCCATCCAAATTACAGGGGAGGGCTGTGACAAACGTGTCGGCGCTCTGTTGACTAATATGGAGGGGATTCGGACAGACATGTGCTGACCGGCAGGCAACCACGTGTCAAACGCTACTGGGGTCCAGTCTGCTTCGGTCCTGTTTTGCATGACCAAAACACGACCATCCCTAATCTCGTCAAAAGTGTATGCGGACTTGAATCTGACGACCGCAGTGGTGGCGACGCCTAAGGACACGTCCACCTCTGCGCCAGAGCTAACTGATGTGGCTCGGACAGATGTGCCAACCTTTCCACCCACTCTGGCGGTGGCAGAACGGACTGACTGGCACCTCTCTGACCCCTCTGATCTCTCGGGTGAGATTGACGGAAGTTCAAGTGCCGCGTTATTCGCTCACCGCCAGTTGTGTGGGCCTGCTGGCGGCTATACTACAGCTGAGTATACCGGTCGGGAATGCTCGGATTTTGGACAAGATACCGGATTCGGCGAATATCCTGATAGGGAAACCAGTATTTGTGCATTCCTTTTCAATGCGTACTCAAAGTACAGCTGCTGCAAACGAGAAACTCAACCTGGGACCCAAAACATTGTGCTGAAGAGTATTTTTGAGCTTAACAGACAGTGCTTTCATTTATGTTGTGTCTTTGTACAACTATGGACGACAGAAATGATGCGCGGAGATGCAAAAGATACGTTCGAGAATAGGTGAGGATATGCAGAAGCATGTCATCACTCCAGATGTGTTATAGCGGCCTTTGATCAGTCAGTCGAAGCCGTTGAGTTCGGTGGCCTTAGCCAACAGCTATTATGCACAGGTTACTGACATTCGACATGCTATAATGAGGACGATGCAGCTGGGCTGTTTTTGCGAGGCAGCTTCGCGATAAAACAACCGGCCTTCCTGATGACATCTGCGCTATTGTAGCTTCGGGCGACATAGTGTAACTATAAACGTAACTGGAAGATTTGCTCTTAAATGTTCTCCAACAAATGTGATATTTTGCAACGAAAATTGAAAGGTCTTCAGTCACGCATATGCTCGCCGTGGTGCTGAGTGGATTATGACATTGCGCAGGTCCGTTATTAAAATTTGAAATTTAAGCTGCTATTTCCCGTTTAAGCTCCTAGTAAAGTAGCGTGATCCGCACACGCGCAAAATGGGCATTGTCGTTCGTCGCCTTCAACAGTTACCGCTTCCCTTAACCGAAAATGCTCTATCTGTAGCGTCATTCAAATACGCTAGCTGTAACGTCATTCAAATATGCTCTCTATCTGTAACGTCATTCAAATACGCCATCTGTAACGTCATTCAAATATGCTCTCTATCTGTAGCGTCATTCAGGTCAGTGTCGATGTTTTGCGGCCTCACTAAATTCACTGGAAAAGTTAAGTGCAACTCTACAAATTATAAACATTCAAACATCTCGGTGCAGATATTCGAGTACCGAAACCGATCCGAACGCTCAGCTCTAATGTGCACACCCCTCGCCACTGAGGTGGAAGGGCGAGGGTAGGGTCCAGGACCACACTGAGGTGAAAGGTCAAGGGTGAGGTCCAGGACCACTAAAGTGCAGTTTGGGTGCTACATGTCCGTCACGTGAGGGCGGGTGTATCGATTGTTGAATTTAAAGCGAATACACTTGCTTCACATAGCTAAGTGTTGATTTCAGGGTCCCCACCTCCACCCCGTTGGGGCACAGTTAGCTTAAGTTGGCGGCACGGTCTGCTGTACTGATAAAACACGAGTTTTGATGGCGATACTTAGGCGGCTGTCCGTAGCACGCCTTCTTCTTCCCTCTAGCCCACACTCGGCCCGCGGGGACGTACCGTTCCATGAGGTGTGCTCCCCACCGGGGGCGTAGTTCCGCAGCATGAGTTTGGGGGGGGGGGGTATGAGCAACGGAAAATGACGAAACTGACGCCGAAAATACACCATGGTTTCTCCACAGGCTTGGTCCACTTGCTTCTTTAGGTTGGGTGCAACAATGAGGCCCAAATCGAGGGAGCTCAACTGAAGAGGAAACTACTCCCCTGCTCGCCACCAAACTGGTCTGGCTGTCCATGACCGCATCCCAATCGTGCGGGGCGATTAAAAGTCGTATAATCTCAGATTAACGGGCATCCAACCTTTTTGAACCTTAGCTCAAATCGCCATTCAGGACAAGTGACCGCGAATCTGCGGATCCCGCTGTCGGGCTCTGCAGACCTCCGGCCTGGGGCGACTCTGACTCGTCATGTAGACGCCCGGCGGCTGAGTCACCGCAAAGGCTCGCCAGGGCCGACGTATGCACGCTATTCTGCAGTGTGCCGCCGCTCATCCGCTGGACCCGCTGCGTCGGTTACGCGGGCTACGTGTGTCGGCCTTTGTGTCGGACGTAATCGCGGACGGTCGACGCTGGGTCGGCCGGGCCGTCCGGGCTCCCCTCCTCCCCTCCCCTCCCCCGCGCCCCCGACTGCATGACGGGACCTGTCAGTGGCCTGTCAGTGCACGCTCGCCGCTGCCGAGTGTCTGCAGTGGTGCGCAGTAAGGCGACGGTGGACCGAGTGGTGCCGGGCTGCAGTGGGCGGGCCCCGCCGACGCAGGAAAACCGGCCGCACGGACGGGGAAGATGTTGTACGGAAAGGAAACGGCGGCCGCTCCGCTTATTCCGCCGCCAACGGTCAGCCTGGGTAGGTGATGTGGCGTCACCACGTGGACTTGTTCCATGCGTGCGATGTTTGGAGCGACGGTAGCCGCGGCCTGGCATTGTATTTGAGCGCCGCAGCCATCACGGCCGACCAACGCTAACTGTCGCAAAGTCGAGCCAACGCTGACGATCCGTCGCAAAGTCGGAGCCGCTGCTCGGAGCCGCCTAACAGACGCGCGCTGCTGCTGGGAACGAGTATGAAACCGACGGCGCCGGCTGCTCGGTTCAGAATCGCCGTGTTACGTGCGATACCACAACCGGCGGGATTTTGTTTGTTCAAGATGCATGGCCCTTATCAAATTTGCATAGGGCTGCGAACAGCCCCCTAAACCACTTCCGAGAAGTAAAGGCCAGCATATTTATGTCCGACAGCAGCTGGCGAAGGAATCCATTTGCACATTGGGACCTTGCACAGTTCGCGTGGGATTTATCGCATCGGCGGCTCCTGCCAGGTCATTGGAACACCCCCATGCCCCCATGCATGGGACTGCTAGTCACGGCTCTTAACTCTTGTACAATAAGCACATGTGCAGTGAAGAGACCGTACGACTTGGGCCTATCAGGCTTGTCTAAAGGCACAACGCGACGAGGAGTGCAATCAAGGGGGTCCCGAGGTCCTCCTTATTCGGGAACCTTAAATTTGTCTTTTCGATTTTGGATTGGGATATATGCACAGCATTGAAAGAGTAAGGAAACGCGTTTTTACGCTCTGAATACCAAATGCAAAGAACTGCCAAAATTGTGCGAAAGCTGTCATCCTCAGCAACGTCGGTAGATGATGTAATATGCAATTCATTTGTAAAAATGTGATAACAAACACACGATGCGGACATGGCACAAGACATTTATTTGCGTCTCCAAAATATTTTCAGCCTTAAAATTACCAATGCTTATGTTTCTTTCGCGTTGTGTTTTGACTGGGTTTAACTGTGTTTTTGGATACACTTTACTGCTGTGGCTACATCTTCGTATGGCGCAATGACAGTATCGGGAGCCCACCACCCTCCACATAGAAGTCCTGGTTGTGCGCCTGGATGCGACATGTTGGTGATAACGCGGTGATAACATGGCGCGGCGGATAAGGTTCGACCGGACCCCGCCGGCGAGCGGCGGTCGCACAGACCCCCGGCCGCCGTCTGACGACGCTCCGCTGACGCCCAGAGGCCAGCGGTCCCAGCTGAGCGCGGGCCGCCGCCTGCTCCGGAAGGGGCCAACCAATGGCCGAATGGCGACAAAGGTGGAACCGTATGGAAGCGCCGAGTTGGAAAGCCAGCCAATTCGACATAACTAATCGCCTCGCGCTGAGACCATGGACAAATTGTCACTCGTGGGAGGAGTGCTCAGTCTAACTGCCCGTCATTCCCTGGAAAAGAGAGGCCTCAACACATCCTTCGTCCTCCCGGATACCACAATCCGATGCGATTGCTTGAGTCACCGATGAGCGGAATCGCTGGTCCGGTTCGTTCGTTCAGGGCCCCCTGTCGCCAACATTGAGTAGCCGTCTCAGAGCTCTCCGAGCGCTGCCCACCGACAAGTGCTCAGATGAGGGCGCTACTGGCCGCCGGAGTACTGCACCATGACTCACTGGTCTCAGCGGACCGGTTATGGAGAAGGCTTGTCGCACTGGCAAAAATCCGCGGACGGCGGTCGGGGTGCCCCGTTGTGGTCCTCGACAAGCCACGATTACACTGGCGTTCGGTTCGAAAAGCTTTGGCCTACATCGCGGCCTCGACGCTTCGCCAGATGGTCACGAGCCTTGAGCTCACGATGATTGTTCAGACGTGACGACCGATGCCACTTCACTACCAGATGTACGACCAAAACACCAAGCGCGCATGGAAGTACCTCGTAGCCTTGTGTCCCAATGTGCCCCCCCCCCCCCCTCCCGAAAGTCAGCTCACCACTGCGGGCTGCGCTGCCCGGTTCGTCTGTCGCGGCTTCCATTGCCCGAAAGCGAGCCAGTTGGAAACTGGGCCGACAGACTGGCCGGCCGGCCACTGGACGTCGGCCCTGCGGCGGGTGACTCACAGCTGCCGGTTCGGCCCGGCGCGGCGACCGGCCGGCTGCTCCCATGCCTGCGGGCACGTTCCGCTCGCCGCCTGCTGTGACGTCAGCCGTTGGAGGCGGGCGCCAGGCGCGCGGGCCGCGGCCGAACTGGGCGCCGCTGGGACAGGTGACACTGCAGCCGCGCCGTGTGTCCATAGCTGTTGTTTTCTGTCGGACCGTGATACAGGCGAGCACTCGCGCGCGCAATGCGAAGGGACCGTTGCGTCGGAGTGGTTACATCACTGAAACACGATTGAATTGCGCTTGACCTTCGATGACAAGCCTTGACCGATTGCTGTAACGTCACAGTCTTGTACCTGAGTCGTCGCCCCTAGTGACACATCACGCTGGTATAGAAAATTATGTTCATAAGAACGTGGCATACGCTAGCTGGACTTTGCCATGCTCTTTCAACATGAGGAGGATAAGGTGTTCCCATTTCAGTTCAGAAAAACAGCGTTATCGACGCATTGCCCTTGCCCTTGACCTTGACCGTGCAGATTCTTGGTCTTCCAGTGCCGTGTCGCTGATCGGGCACTTTTGTGTGATCCACTGCACATGTCGTAATAGAGGAAGGCCTCCCGATTCTTTCCAACAAACAAGCAGAGTAACAGCAGCAGTGTGGAAATAAGTCGGTAGCCTGTGCTTCACTTCAACCTCGATCGTTATGGGACCATCCACTTGAAGCCTCCGAAAATGTTTATAAGGTTCGACTTGTACGCCTGTTCTGTGCTGTCCTTCATACCCAAACAAACCGAGCATGGCTTTATTTCAGATTATCTTCACGACGAACTGTACCAGTCCAGGTACAACGCACAAAATATTACTGCAGGTACGTCTTTACTCTGTTCAAGATCGTGTGTGGATCCCAAGACGATCTGAGCACTTGAGCACGTTGTAGTAATAGGCACCACTGGCTTATCTTTAACTACGTGATAATCTGCTCGGTCTGAGCTCTAGGATATGGTGTCTCGTAGCACTTTTGTGGCCTGTCAACGTTATGCATTTTGGAAAAACGTGTCAGCACAAGTTTGTCCTTTATGTATCTGCAACAGCGAAAAGCGCACCTTGCAAACATGGCATGCTGCTCCTCGGAGTTGACAGGGTACGATACAGAACAGCACGCGCTGCTCAGGGCGTTTTGTATTACCAGGGGTCCGCTGTACTGTGGTAGGGTGCGTACCGTGACAGAAGACGGCTGAATTAAAACCCGCACTGATTTGTGAAGGCTGAAGCACCCAGGCCCAGGTCGAAAAGGAGTTTCGTCGCTGGCCGCCATATTTCGCAGGAGCGTTTCGTAGCTCGTTACAGACGTGTTTAGAATTGGTTTCCCTGCTTGTGTGCAATTGTTACCGTGAACCCCGCCAAATCATTGCATTCCATCATGAGTGCGATGTTTCAGTTGCAACACGCCGCCCGCTTGTGGGCGTGTTCGCCAATCCCATAATGACCGCGCCGTGTGGTCAATAAAAGCTCGTGCTCAGTGTTCGAGCCCGTGTTTTGAACTGCCAAGCAAAGCCCTGCAAAAACTAGCTGCCACCAATTTCACAACGTGTTTGTTACGCTGTTTTCAGCGGTGTTCCGTCTGGAGGGAGACCTGCACCGGCTGACCATCATGGTCGGTGTCATGTTCTTCCTCTTCGTTGTCTGCTTTATCGGCTTCGCCTTCTATGCGTGCTCCAGCTACAGAGCGTATTGCCGACGCAGAAAAACCGCCGACATCGAAAGCGGCCAGAGCATTGAGCTGAAGAAGATCGGCGCTAAGCTGGCAAACGGGTCTTCGGTAAGAAATGCAAGCGATTTATGAATTAGTCGCATTGGTAATTTTTCTTAATTGAAGTGAGATTGCCAGCTGCCAGGCTGCATTGAATGCTGACGCGTATCCGTAACTGCACGGGAATGATCGATTCGGACTCTAATTCCAGGTTTCCAAATGCTTCCTCATCAGCTCAGTTTTTCCATTTAGGAAGGCTGTCTTCGTGGCATCCTTTTATCGGCCTCATTTACCACCGCCAGAGACGCAGCCAGGATATTCTTAAGCGAGGGGCCAGAGGTCGTTGACTAGGCATCACGCCGATTTTTAACTTTCTGCCGGAAACCATCCGTGGTGAAACACGAAAACTTCGGGCTTAGGGGGGGGGGGGGAGAGGGCTTGGCGGCATCCTTGCTAACCGATATCGGAAAGCGCTTCTGCCAACAAAATGTGCTTTGCTCTAATCTGCTCGCTCCCACGGAATTTGTTCAGCAGAATCGGTGGTTAAGTTCGAGTAGAAATCGTTTTTACTTTAATAATATATCGATGGGAAATAATACCTATTCATTTATTCGTAGGGTAGTTGATGTAGTGTGGGTCGAGTAACCATGAATATTATGAGAGATGACACCTTATTCCGATAATAATACACTTTTCAAAACATCCCATCCTGCGAAAGCCTGCTGCTTCAGGCCTCGGCGCGCGCTGAAGCACCGTCACACCGTCACATGTTTGCCGTCACGGTGGGCTCACATCCTCGCCGCGGCAAATTCACCTAGCCTTTCCGAGGTGTTGGCTGCGCACCAGCAGTCCTAGGGGCACTGTCATGCTTGGATTTAGACTACATTGTTTACAGCCAGCATTTTATGCTTGAGATATAGTCAAAATACATTGTTGGTCGAATGACGGGTATGAAGCAGGCACACATTGTGACGTCATGTAGGGGCAGGGATGCCGAGCTCAGCGCATTGATCGCTGGGATATATTTGTGGTAGCCTCCAGTGGTGCCACTTTCCTTTTAAGTTCTGATTGTGGCATGGATTGCGGGGCTCTTCGCCGCAACTGTTTCCTCCGGCGATGTCTAGTCAAGCGGCCAGAAATTCCTACCTTTTTTAGTGGTCATATTTAGTCTGCGTAAACATGTAATCTGTTTTGTTGAAGCAGAAAAGAGACAGCACGCAACCAACTTACTTCCATCTATCCTGACCAGATGTTTAGAAACGTCAGAAGCTGACCGCCTGCGTCAGTATTGCTCTCGTGCGCAGGAACAGGGTTACGCGGCAGAGATGGCGCTGTTATGGGATGATGCTACGTCACCCCAGCTGTAGTGACGCTGTGGCAGTGCAAAATTCCCAACCTGAGGGCGTTTACATCGTCGTCCCCAGCGTTGCCTATTCCCCGGTCGTGGCGGCTGACGTGGGCGCTGATCTGACCTGTGTTTTCAGGCTCCCGCTGGTCAGCACGTCATCAGCCCCTAAGGCGAGCACGGTGCCTCAGTGCACGCTGGGTCGCCAGTGCACCCCATTCACGCTCACCGCCAAACCGGGCGATGAGGCGAAAGGCGCCCGCAACCGCCACCCGTCAGAGGACACGTGTCCGGGCGAGTACAGCGCCGTCTACGACAACCCGGCGCTGGCTGTGACTCCGCCGCTGGCCGCCGGCGGCGCCACCGGCCACCCGCTGGCGTCGGCCGCATCCACGGCGCGGTCACGTGACTCGGTGCTGCGCGCCGGCAGCTCGGCGGCCAGCAGCGTGCACACCGAGAGCACGCGCATGCCGCGCGAGATGGATATTACCGACATGTCGCCCGCCAGGACTGTGGAGGTCATCTGAAGTGCCAGCCGCCGCTCAGCTGACGTCAAGAGGGCCCACCTGGAGTCTGCTCGGGTAGCTGGCGCAGCCATCGCTGGTGCTGACGGCGGCGTGGCGTCGTCCGCTGGTGGACGTCAGTGGCGGTGACACTTTCGGCCCTTGCGGGACGCGCGCCAGGCGGCTGCAGTCAGTCGCGGTTCGAGCTCACTGAACGGTCGGAGGCGCACCCCGCGCGGGCGCAGGCGCCACTAGGCGGCGTAGGATGCCGGTGCAGACTCGCCGCCGTTTTCGCCTCAGTGAAGTTGAGGAATATGCGAGGTCAGCGAGCTGGTGCAAGTGCGTGCTGTCGTCAGACAAGGGGATGAAGAAACATGAGAAGATGGCGGGAAGTGGCCTGTCGCGACGGTGGAGTGGTTCCGCTGCGCGGTCCCATATTAGCTTTCGGCCACCGCCGAAAGCGTAGTTGGCATCCCGGCGTGCTCTTCTTGCTGATGTTTTTGACCGACTGCGCCCACTTTCGCGTGCTGTCAACAGATGGCTCTGGCTCTCGCGTTGGAGCTGTGAACTACGGAGCCTCTGAAGGCGGCCGCGAGACGGCGCACCCCGTCGACAGCAGCGTGGCTTCGCGAAATGTCGGCGTGCCTGCAGACAATGCCGCGCGACATTGATGATTTTAGGAAGTATTTTAACGAGAAGTGTAGCAGTATTGTCTTTCTGATGACCGTCCCACTGTGCCGGCTTCATAAGTCCCGTGCGCGCGTTGGCTGTAGCCTCCACGAGGAGCCCGCGCCTGTCGCTCTCAGAGCCTGGCCGCGCCACGTCAGTTGCACGCGCCCCCGCGACGCGTGAAGTTACAATTTGTGACGCCCCGCGGCGATGCCGGCGTCGCTGGTTTCGTAGTTTGTTAACGGTTGTTAGGCCGGTATGTTGGAAATCAACAGCCGCGCAGCTGGAGCGGGATTCTGTCCTTGGGAATAGAAAAGTTGTTCGGAGGCGCATCAAAACCTTATTGCTTCAAGGTTGCTGTGTTATCGGCAGCGTCTAGAACATGGTGAATTGAAATGGTTGTGACTACGAATTGTTGTAATGTGTCATGTAAACAAATTCATAGTTTTAACCGTCGCATTGCGAAATGACCACGTGTCCTGCAGCGACGTAATCGGAGTAAATAGACTGTAAACTTGTCCGTCCATCGTATTGTGTGACGTTTTCTCCCTCCCATACGTTGTCTTGCGAGTACCTTTGCTTTGCATTTGATATTTTAGAGTCGAATGTGACGCATACATCATTGTGGTTGACACCACGTGGCCATTTCGCAACGTCGCGGGGTCGCGATAGCGAATACGAGTGTCCATCGCGCGCCCTTGATTTGCTAGTGAACGTGCCGCGCCTCGGCCACGGGCCCACGCGAGCCGGCGGTGAAGCTTGCGGGTGGCCAAGTGCAGAGTCGTCGGACCAGACAGCGGTCCTGGCGGCTGTGGTGCGTGGATGGCCGACGGGTCGCCTGTACTGGACCAACCTCCGCCCCCGTCCCCTGCAGTGAGTCGACACCCTTCACCCGCCCGTGTTGGACCGACCTCCACCCCCGTCGCCCATAATGAGTCGACACCAGTCACCCGCCCGTGCTGGGTCAACCTCCGTCCCCGTCGCCCATAATGGGTCGACACCCTTCACCCGCCCGTGCTGGGTCAACCTCCGCCCCGGTCGCCCATAATGGGTCGACACCCTTCACCCACCCGTGTTGGACCGACCTCCGCCCCCGTCGCCCATAATGGGTCGACACCAGTCACCCGCCTGTGTTGGACCAACGCTCTGCTTTTGGATGCTCCCGTCTGCGAGTATTGTTGCGCTGTCGTCAATCATCGACCGTGCATGAGAACAGATTATTGTTGAACCCGGCTGCGGGCGCGTTATTATTGAACTCCATTTGGTAACGATTCGCAAATGTACCTGAAGGGTAGTGCAGCTGCGTCAAAGACGACATCGAATTGCAGTTGAAAATGATTGCACGTAGTTGAAGCATTTGGTCCCAAGCCTGTCTGATTCGAGCAAGGTCGTGGTTGTGGCGGCACGCTAGTTTGACATTTCAAGTTGCCTGCCTGCTGAATGACACTGGCGGTGTAATGTGGAGTTGATGTTGTGCCATGAGGTGTTCTTCACGTTGTTGTGCCGCTCACCGGAGGCGTGCGCACATGGTACGCTAAATACACGCAACTGGTGCCTTCCTGTCACTTGGTGGTGTCTGCACTGTTATCGAGGCATGAGGACGTTGCGTGTACGACTGGGCCACTACCCATAGGTAGCAGATCCAGATTGGTTGGGCCCATGAGTGGCAGATACAGCTCACTGCCTATAGATGGCGGATACAGGTCACTCACTGCCCATAGGTGGCGGATACAGGTCACTCACTGCCCATAGGTGGCGGATACAGGTCACTCACTGCCTATAGATGGCGGATACAGGTCACTCACTGCCCATAGGTGGCGGATACAGGTCACTCACTGCCCATAGGTGGCGGATACAGGTCACTGCCCATAGGTGGCAGATGCGAGTTACTGCCCATAGATGGCAGATACAGGTCACTACCCATAGGTGGCAGATGCAAGTTACTGCCCATAGATGGCGAATACAGGTCACTCACTGCTTACAGATGGCAGATACAAGTCACTGCATATCGGTGACAGATACAGGTTTGTCAGACTTTACCAAGACCCATATTGGGATCGGCCGCCGTCTCGATTATACGATTATATGTACCATGGGAGTTGATTTCTCAAAATGATTGAGGGGCCCAGAGTTTTAGAAGTCATGATGGAGCTGGTGCGAAAAGCTTCTCAGATGCTGCCCACGTGTATTCTTGGTTTCTGGCTATCCATTATGAATATATATATATATATATATATATATATATATATATATACGACCTATACCTAGCACATCTTCTTAACCTCATGTGCATAGGCACAGCAATCACGTATGAAGGCCTGGTAGTTTACATCAGTTTCGTACAAACACAATTGTTTTGTGACGCCGAAGTAGATGCAGTTACACCTCTCTCTCGTGAACTTGAAAGTGAACTTTGCGCACAATTTATCATTCTGTACGGCTGTAATTTGTTGGTGTACGTATTCATGCATTCACGATTATGTTGTCCACAATATCCATGTATGGCGCGGCATCTCGTTAACATGAAGCTTCCCCACCTTCCAAAAAAATCGTTCATGTACCATATACATTTTAGTGAATGCAAAACAAAACATAAGCGCTCGTCCACGCATCATTTCAGAAAATGGTTTTCACCCTTCTCCCAAAACGCTTAGGGCACATGCTCTCCTCTTGATAATACCTTTTCCCGCTCAGTCTATCAAACACGCGTTGCGAGCCAGCTGTAATTCAGGGAGAAGTTGTTCCAAGCTGTTGTACAACTGAAAGGAACGCAAATGTAGCGCGCTTTAGCTCGAGTGTATGGCAAAAGAACGATCATAATGACAATGTCACGCGCAACGCATGTTGATTGTAAAAGTGTTGCTAGCTGAGGTGGCTTCTCAGTGATCATGTTCGTCTCGGAATGTTCCATCTTTGTTCAGAACCGAGAAGTAAAACAACTGCAAGTAACACAGCACGCGAGCTCTCAAGCCTTGGAACAAAAACCCTGATGGTCGGCGTTGCAGTAGCCGTACGCAGCTCGGCGTCGGCCTTCTCGTCGATATTAGGCGGTGGCCGGTGAGCGGACGAAAATGGCAACGTTTCTGAGACAGTTCTTTTGAACGCTTGAAGAAGAAGAAGAAGCAAACGTCAATTCGAACGTTTAGAAGGCAATGCGGGAGCACGTTTCACTTGTGTGATTTGTATATTTATAAGCGAAACGGATTAGCATTGACAATACTGCTAACCGGTGACGGAATTTAGTGGCGGAACTTGACAAGTAAACATACAATCCCTCTTTTCTTAGTGGCTGGCGCTCTTATTCTGTTCAGAAGACATCTCCAGAATTTTGAATGTGAAGGTTGCGCCCCATTCTAATTTCTAAGCGGTATTGATTCATTTTGAAATACTTTCGGAGGCATTATTTCACTACGGCTGTTCTCGCGCGTCAGGCGGCCGCCGCCCAGTGTTGGTCTGCTCACGGCTTTCACGGAGGCTGCAATCGCGGCTATCGGTTTTCTTGCCTCTAAGACTGCGAGTATGCCGACTCAATATTTTAAAATTTGTTTCAAATACTGCTCAGGATCAAGAATGCGTGCAAGAACCTAACCTCCCCTAAAACCCTGGTTTCTCTCCGTATTTCGGCTACTCTGATATCCGCCTAATGTCCAATTAACTTTTAAAATATTTGGTTGGTTCCAATATTGTTTTGATTCCGAAGAATGGTTAACCCCTTCAAAGCGATATGATAGTGATAATGATGATATGTGAAGCTCATGATATAGATAGGGATGCGTTTAGAACCTACTTTACGAGCAGTTCAAACACTAGTTGCATTTCATTGGCCCAATGTTTCCTTCTTCGCTCAGATGCACTGGGGACGGCGGTTCAATAGAGTATTAAAGGGGCTTTAAGGGAGTGCTTGACATTTGTATGGGGTTCTAAACTGAAGAAGTCATTTTAAAATCATATGGTACGGTTCACAGCCCTGCCCGTCTCAACAGGACTGTTCTAAGTTTCAAGATATTGAAGCAAGCATAAGATATGATGAAATTGGTTTATTTATAGCTACTTGTACACTTTTAAGCGAAAATACTGCTCTAGACAACACAATTTTCCTGTTTATTAAATGTGCTTCTCAATATGTCACTGTTTAATTACGCCATTGTACCTTGCACAACATTGATTGAGACCCTATCGATGGCCTTTATGTCTGGAAATCGTGCACACAAACGCCAGATATAAACAACTCGACAATGATATTTTTGCTTGGCCTTGGTTGCCGCATAGCTAATGGAATGACAGGATTTCGATGACGTTTTATGGCGTCAGGGGTGTCTGGATAACCTACAAAGAGTCTCTCCGAAATAGGCTGCACATCTTTGCTGGCGCATATCTCAGACACTAGAGGGGTTTAGGTCTTAAGATGGACGGTGATGTGAACTGCACCACATGATCTTCAAGATGGCTATTTAGTTTAGTCAACATAACTCGCACAGCGGTGATTGAGAGCATATTGATGGTCGATACACCTGGAACACGTGGTCATGAACGCCAGATATGAACGACTCGACCAGTATATTCCTATTGGCATTGATCGCCGCATGGCTTATGGAATGACAGGATTTGAATGGCGTCATCATGACGTCATGAATGTCAAGGCGACAGTGAGCTACTCTCCCCGACATACTATCCCCGTTTTCACGGGCGCGCAGCTCGGAATCTGGATGGGTTTAGGTCTTCAGAAGGGCAGGGCTGTAAACTGCAACGAATGATCTTCCAAACGGCTATTTCAGCTCAAAACCCCATAGATATGTGGAACACTCCCTAAAGGTCAAAATCACATCTGCCATCCAGTAGGCCTTGATGTCTTCAATGCCGATACCAATGTTTTTGTACACCCAATCAGATCTGACGTCCGTGAGCGCGGTTTCTAATTCTGGCAGAAGTCAATTTGCTTTCATTCAATACTGAACAAGCTGTGCAGGATCCAATCACGAATTAGATTCTGTGCTGCGTGATATTAAACGTTGGACATGGTCAGAAATTATTACGGTAGTTATTACAGAAAAGAGACTTATAATCAAAGAGACTTATATAACCAAAGCACGAGCACAAACGATATTTTGTTCAGGTACCACCTCCAGCACCGCTAATGTCATCTGTCAGCGAGTTGAAGTACCACATGTGAGTGCTGGAGTGGCGACCTCGCACGGCTAGTTTAGCAGCACCTCATCAGCACACAAACGGTCCATGACGCAATCAAACAATGACGCATAGAGAGAGATACGCACCAAATTGAGAAATGGGTCATCTAGAACAGTCTTTTTCACTTAGAAGCGTATACTTATAAGTGAGCTGATTGCATCGTATCTGATGCTGCTTTCAATATCTCCAAATGTGGAACATTCCTTTAAAGTCAGCATTAGCGAGTCAGCAGCAAGTCAGCGTACTGTCAAGTCAGTCAGTCAGCAAGTCAAGTCAGGGCCCTCTGGCAGGCACTGCGGGCTCCTGGCCGACACAGAGGCCTTATTGTTACAAGCGGCCTGCTGCCGGCCAATGCAGCTTGCGGGTTCCAGCCCTTTCCTCGCCTGGGAAATGGGCTGCCAGGATTTAGGCCGACATGGAGCAGACTGTTTGTTGTTGTTGATCTCTGACCAAAATAGAGGCCCGCATTACCCTAGGATGTCCCCAAACGGTACAAAATACTCTCCGGCTGATATCTGAGGGCCCGGCCCTGCAGACCAAGGTCCCTAAATAACCTACAGCCAGCCCCTCCTACCTTCAAATCAGGCACTTGAGCAAAGGCCCTTCTGCGGTCCCCCTCGAGCACCGTCCCGGCCCATTCTGGGCTCCTTGCCAAAAATGATCCTTTTTATGGACCGCGGTCTCTAGATCGACACAGGGGCCACTTTATTGTGTCAGGGGCTCCGACCGATGTAAATCGCGGGCGCTGGCCTTGTCCCTGCTTGAGAAACGCGCCCTGAATTTCAGAGCTAGCGCCTGAGTAATTTGGTGGCGAATCCGTCACGTGTCACGGTCGTTAAGCCTTCACTCCAAAGCGGTGTATTTTCACCAAATAGCGTAGCGGGCTGAGCGGGGAAACCCAAGCCTTATATACACAAAAACTGGTTTCTTCCTGGATTTAATCCACCTTCCGCTCAACGTAATGGAGTTGGATTTCTACCTAATGGAATAGGAACCTGCAGCACTGCTCTGATACGTTTTCCCACTTTACCTCGGCGGAAGATGCTATTGTTGGGCATCATTAACATTTCGTTTGGCGTCGATTTTCGAAATCATGTTTCGGTAGTCGATGCAAGGTCGATATTATGTGACCTCGGACGTTGTTAGGCGTGTACGGCTTTGGAAGTGAAGGGAGTAAGTTGGTATGCGCGACTATTAAAGGCTGCGTCGGAAACGGCCCCGCCTGGTAGCTGTGAGGCGGGCTGCAGGCTACAGCGCAGCACTCAAATTAGGCATGTTTGACACGGCTGGTGCTGTTTTGGTGGTCATTATCGGATGACTGCCGCTATCGGTTCAGTCAGCATACAACTAACTAGCTAAAACTAGCATAAAACTAAAT